AGAAGAAGGATGGTTCACACTGGATGTGCATAGATTACTGGGTGTTGAGCAAGTTGATGGTGAACAATCATTAACTCCTTTTATGGATTGAAGACCTTTTTGATAAGTTTCAGGGTACATCTTGGTTCTCCAAGATTGATTTGAGGTTGGGGTATCATCAGGTGAGGGTGAGAGAGGAAGACGTAGAGACGAGGGCGTTTCAGACACATTATGATCATTACGAGTTCATGGTGATGCTATTTGGGCTCACCAATGTACCTGAGGTGTGTATGGACTTGATGCATTAGGTATGCAGGTGGATGCTCGATCTATTAGTTATTACTTTTATTGATGATATCTTGGTGTATTCCAAGACCAAAGAACAACATGATGAGAACCTTGGAGAGCTTTTAGGAGTATTGAGGCGGGAACGGCTACATACCAGGTTCTCGAAGTGTGAGTTTTGGTTACGAGAGGTCCAGTTCCTGGGGTATCTCATAAACCAAAATGGGATATTGGTCGATGTGGCCATGATTAAGGCTGTGATGCAGTGGGAGATTTCGAAGTCTCCCTCAAAGATAAGGAGTTTCTTGGGTTTAGCAGGATATTATCCAAGATTTATCCATGATTTCTCTTAGATTGCTATACGTTCATTCGTATGAGGAGGAAATGCATGGATTATGATGGAGCCTTGAGCATCAGATGATGTTTGAGACACTATGAAACATATTATGCGAGGCCCTAGTGTTGATCCTTCCGGAGGGTGTTGTGAATTTTGTTGTATTTTGTGATGTATCTATCCCTGGTTTAGGGGGGGGGTTCTTATGCATAGGGGTCGAGTGATTGTGTATGATTCTCGACAGTTAAAGCCACATGAGGCGTGATATGCTACTCATGATCTGGATTTGGGGGCAGTGGTGTTTGCCCTCAATATTTGGAGACATTATCTGTATGGAGTCTGGTGTACCGTTTACACGGATCAAAAGAGTTTATGATATCTTATGGACTAGACGAACCTGAACATAAGGCGAAACAGTTTTATGACTGTGAAATCCTTTACCATCCAGATAATATGAATGTGGTCGCAGATGCTTTGAGCTACAAGTCAACTAGATCTTCAGCTGGGGATATGTGTATGAGGATATTTATTTATTCTGCAGTTTTGGATTTAAGCAGAGGGGTCCAGATTAGTTGATTGAAGTCCTGATTATGGTTTATGACTCAATTATTATTTAGGGTTTTAATTGATTGGCTAGTGCGAGGATTCTCCAGTTCAGCACTCCGAACATCTATTTGACTGAAAACAGACTGAGGTGATACTCTCTCAATATACGGTAGGATACTAGGGATTATATGTGCTTGTAGTCTTTATATCTCCTGCTATATTTGGTGTATGCTTATGTGTCTGTTTGCTATATATACGTGGGGTGTAATAGACCAGGGGGTGAAGTAGATCCGATATAGCCTTGTGCTAACATATGAGTTGAAATAGACTCAAGAGTGAAATAGACCCGAGGGTGAAATAAACCCAGTACGGCCTTAGGCCGACATATGAATTAAAATAGACTCGAGGTTGAAATAGTCCTGAGGGTGAAATAGGCTCGGAACAGCCTTGAGTTGGTGTACATGTATGGTATGCAGTATTTTAGGGAACTCACTAAGCTTTGTGCTTACGGTTTCTAGTTTATTTTTAGGCACTTCTGGATCGAAGGGGGAAGAGCTCGGGATGATCGCATTCCACACACCATGGCTTTTCGCTTATTTGACTCTGACGTATTTTGGATGATTAGGATACATTATGATTTCCAGACGTTTTGATAAACCCGTTTGGTTGATGTATTATTTAATCTAAAAATAAAAAATTTTGGTTCTAAGTTTTTGGACATTACAAGTAGGTATCAGAGCCTTGGTTTTAGGGATTCAGGCATACTCTCGTGTGTTCCTAAACTCAAACTGAGGATTTGGTAGATTTTTCATATGAAGAAATGTTTTATAAAATATTTTTTTTTAAAAGAAAGGTGTGGTGCATGCAATCGACCGATAGATTTTGATTTGTGAATATGTGAATCACATGTTAGATTAGGGCTAAGGATCTACTCAAGATTACATGATAGAATGCTAGGACAGATTTCTTTATATGCCTACTTTATGAGCTTATAGACTTGCATGCTAGTACTGATTTGTCAATGATATGATTGGTTGTTTAGGTTATGCTTTGATTCCGATTACTCAATGCTCAAATGTTGCTTGCTTTGTGATTTTAGGAGTTCCCATTAACATCAACTAACAAGTAAAATAATACACTAAGTTTAAATATTCCTGAGATTAGTTAATTTTAGAAGGTTAGTTTTAACCCTATTGCGTAACTCTTGTTTGAGTACAACCGTTGCAGTGTGATACCTTTCATTCGAAGAATTATCTGGTGTTGGTAGTATGTAATTGTATTCATAAGCTAGTTAGAGGGTGTTAGTGGAGTTCCTTTTGCAGTTGATAGTAGGAGAATGGTGTGGTGCTAGCCCTAGGAAAACAGGAGCTGATACGGTGCCGAGACACTTGTTTTGATAAGGGTAGTACAGACTGATATGGAAGTAACTTGGAGGATTCGGGATGCTTATTGAGGAAAGTATGGATAAATGTGGAAGTAGAGGATCCATACTTGAGCCAAGGAAAGTCACGATGAAACTAGGAAGCTTGTAGAATGTAGGATTCTTTGAGTATATTCTAATGGTTTATATGGTTTATTTCCAGTATAATGGTCACTCGAGGAGGTTCTGGAAGTGGTCCTGGTACCGATGATGGTTCGGGTTCGGGATTTGGGGCCAGACATATGGATGATCAGATACGGGAGTTTATTTTATCAGAGATTTCCCGCAGTATTCTTGCGTAGGTTCCTGTGATATTTGGTATGATCAAGGATGGTATAGTAGAGAGTCTTAATGAGCGCTTGGTCACTTTTTATTATGATATGGTGGAAATTACGGAACTCACACTTCGACTTTCCGTGTATTCCATGCATGTGGGTCTCTAGAGTTCTTCGGGAAGAAGGACCCGATTACGAGCAGACATCGCGAGCAGACATCGGTTAGCGGATGTCACGAATGCCTTCTGTAGTAGTTGTTGCCCCGAGGGGATAAAGGCCAGACTTACTTCCTATCTTTTAAAAGATAGAGATCAAGATTGGTGGGAGGAGGTTGGAGACGCCTTAGGAGGCGAGGCAGTATAGTCGATGATTTGGGAGGATTTCATGATGAGGTTTTTGACTGAGTTTGCTCCTGTGATTGAGGTCTAGTAGTTGACGAGGGAGTTTTAGGACCTTCGCTAGACTACTGAGGTAGTGGCAGAGATCACCTCTATGTTCAGTGAGTGGGCATTATTGGTTCCGCAATATGTGGCAGACGATAAGATGAAGAAGGCAAGATACCACGAGATGTTCAGGATCCATATTAGGTAGTTTCTGAGTAGATCTAGTTGCAAGATGCTACATGATATGGTGGCATGAATTAGAGAGAGAGAGAGAGAGATTGACATGGAGATAGAGAAGAAGAAGAAGACGAAGACGAATCAGGTTTAGAGGTTTAAGGGTTCAGGAAAGAGGCCCAATGTGTTTGATTCGAGATCAAAGGGCCACATTACAAGAAAAATAGCCTTTTACGACGCGCAAACCACGACACTCATTGATTTATGTTACGCAATGGAGAGTGATGTTAAAAAAGCGTCATCTCTTCAAAAAATTTAAGGATTTAGGTCACACATTATTGTGTGCCCTTAAATTAGCGTCATACGAGAAAAAATTAAAAACACGGAGGGCACTGTATCTTAAATGAGCGTCCTCTATGAGTGTCACTTGATAATTTTAATGAAAAGCACGTTTAGTAGATAGGGGGGAAAATGAAATCCCTAAAATTTTGAACACCCGCCTTCTTTTTTATCCTCCACTTTTGTTTCCTTCTTGCCCTAATTATGATCCTTTCTTCCCCCTCCATAGATTCGACTGCTGCCTTGCCTAGTTATCGACACTCCTTCCTTCGTTCGTCACTTTCCTTCTTCGCCTGACAATATCTCAAGAAGTACAACTCCGAAAGCGTACAAGCTGCTATCGGTTTCGCCATAGAGTTCCGCCGTTCCAAAATCGCATATTTTCGCGTTGAGTGACTATGATTGGGTTACAATTATGCTTGAGCCGACGATTGGGTTACAATTATGCTTGAAAGTGTGAAGAACTTACATGCTCCATCTACTTATATCCTAGAGCCGACGATTTAGGACCTTACCGCTTCTCATCCCACACAGCGCCGGCGATTTAGGGCCTTACAAGCCCTAGCTCGGATTGAACTAAGAATTTAGCGAGAGAAATCAAGATTTTTGGTCATCATCATCACGTTTGCATTAGCATCCATAGGCTACAGATCTCAAATTCCTCTTCGGATCCTCGTAATTGACCTTTCCCAAGATCTCGATTTGATCAAACTTACATATAATTGCAGTCACCGGTCTACAGCCTGGTTATATAGTTCATTTTTGCACTAAACATCTCAGGATCTGATCGAGCTCTCTCGCGGTTTCGTTCCCCTTCAAGAAATCTCTTCCCTCTCCCTCTCTCGTAAACCCACCAATTTCTCGCTGAAAGCGCGCGGCCTTTGAATTAGGCATCTATTTTGAAATTTTTGTTCGAGGAAGAAAGGGCTCGCCTTCTTGCTCGCCTTCTTACCCAAGTCTATTTTCCTTCATCTTTTATTTCAACGATTGCTCTGTTTCATGTTTCTTGGTTAGATCATGTCGATTATGCATATGGGTGGGTTATTACACTTTAATGCTCCTTTGAAATCAGTTAGGGTTACATACGAAAAGAAAGAAAACCCTAATCTGAAAGAGCTTTTAGGGTTTTTACAGACCTTCTTCAAGTACCTTCAACATGGTTACGTAGCTGTAGATTACTCACTTTTTTCTTCTCTTATCTTTCCTCTTTGCTTTTACAGGTAATACGACATGATAGTCTGGTACAACTCTTGCTTCTTGGCAGGATGTTACAGGGGACCACCAAACTTCCATGGAAATTTTCACACCATCCAGCTGCTGCTGGTACGTTTTTCACAGTCATGCTACTTGGACTTAAATTCTGCACATGCCAGTATGAAGGGAGCCTACAAAATGTTAGATTGGGAATTCAGCTGCTGGAAGATGGGATTTATCGGTATTACATTCAACTCGTCTTTCTTCAAAATATAACATTTTTTATTTTAATTTAAATTCTGAAGTGGAAAACTGAAACCAACTGCAGGGCTGCATTAGGCTGGTTTGCTTACGAACCTGAATGGTTTGAACATGATCATGGAAATTTTGCACACATCGAGGCTCAATCTGTTAATTCATTTGTTCACTATCTCCAAAACGATCCAAAAGCACTGGGTGGGGAATATGGGGGATCTTTTCTTGACATGGTAAGACACCGATATTGCTATTTATCATGTTGTCAAGGCCGGCCCAAGGGCAGGGCGAGCTGGGCCGTCGCCCAGGGCAACAATATACCATGGGGCATCAGATATTGTCCAACTCTTATGGGTATCACTTGTGCCAAAAGTTTGATCGCACAAAAATATTGTAGTGTTGAAATGCCAAACAGATGGAAGCAATTCTTTAGCGGCTAAAAGAATGCATTCAACTGGTTGAAGAAGACGAAGAGACGATTGGAAATAAGAAGGTATTCGAGTATTTATGGGTGGCAGTGGTCGCTTGTCACTCAAGATCTAATTCCTAATTTCTAATTTTCTTCTTATCAGTAAGAAGGTATCCTCCTAAATTTCTAGTTTTCTTTCTTATTACCTCACTGAGTCATCGACGGCAACCTAATTACCATCGTTGCTGCCTGGTGCTTCTTTCCGACGGTATCAAAGTAGCGGCCTTAATGCGGTGTCAATTTTGCCTCAATTGAATTGTCATCCGATGGCCAACCCGAAGGTAAGACGACTTTCTCTGTATTCTTAAAATGCCCTAAATTCATGGCACATTGTTAATTGTTTTTTATAATACTTCTCGCCGTTCCAAGTTTTTAAGCCTTAAAGTTATACAATTTTTTATTCATTTTTCAGCTTTTAAATACATTTGCTAATCGGCTGTGTGTTATGGTAGGCTAATGATATAAGTGAGATTTACTTAAAAAATGTTTAACTTCAATTTATACTCAAAGATGCTAAAGGCTAACTTATTTAACTGAGATTTAGTGTATATATTCGTTTAGCAAAGTAAGCAAATCAATTGTTTTTCCCCTTAATAATATATCATTAAATTATTTTTAATCTTGTTGGTACAGTATGTAAATGTAGTGTTAGTTTTGTTATACATTTTTATGTTACTTTATTGTTTAAGCCATCAAATGTATGTTTATCTAGCATATGTTTTTTGGCACATTATGTTTTATTTATTTTTCATTTGTTTGATTGTTTGCAACAATGAATTTTAATTAATTACTTTTTTCAATATCAGAATTTCAATTTAATAGACTATTGGGACTTATATGGATGTCATTTAACATTAGTTTTTACTTTAAAAACATGTTGAACGCATAAAAGAAGAAACTATTAAAATTGTCTGTGCTGAACATTTATTCAGTAGCAGAGATTGACTAAATGGAGAAGACAAATGAGTTTCATGATAGACTTGATATCTTAATGTTAATGCAATTTAGTCTTAACATTTTTAATTTATTTATATGAAAACTAGTGTTATACCTTGGGTGCAGTTGTTTTCTGTTGTTTCTGACGGACTTCCTCATGAAAAGTTTGGTGATTAGACAATCTTGCCTTTGGCTCTTCATCAGGTGCAACAAGATTAAATTTTATAGGCGGTGAATCTTCCTGCGCCTTTCAAATTAGGGGTGACATAACTATCTTTATTAAAAATTTTGAAAGACCATTTTTCATTTATAGTTTTGGTTTGTTTGCAGTAGTCTTTTAGTTTTCATTGTATTTTTCGATTCTGATGTGTTATAATTTAGTACTTTCAGCTGCTCCATGCTAGTGTTTATTCCATATAATATTTTCTGTTCAAATTAAATGGAGTATAAATGAGTCGGTTTATATATAATAAACAAACGTAAGGCATCATTAAGCTGTGTTGTGTGTGTGATGTGGATGATGCAGAATTTGATAATGCAGCATGTAGAGCATTTAGCAGGGGATTTGATTCATCTGTTTCAAGGGATATTAAGATATGCTCCATTAGAGAGGGTAACAACACGTGCAACATTAAGACATCCTTTCTACACCAGGGACAATCTGAGTAGACGATACTAGCTGCTGCTAACAATATCAAAACAAAGTATGTGGCGGTCAATCTAAATCTGCACACAGAAGGAAGGAAGGATGTTTTTGCTGTAGATGTTTTTATTTCCCAAGGGTATGTTTTGAGTTCCTACTGCACTGCTGTGTGGAAACCCCACCCACACATCTTATTGACCACCTTGAAGTCAAATTTATGTACAAAGTACAAACAAACAAACAAATGTAGAAAAAGAAAAGAGAGATGATTACAAGGTATGTGAAAGAGGAATGGGCATGGTTATGTTCTTTATCCAAGGTATTTTGGTCTTCTCTTTCTCTTTCTCTCTCTCTCTCTCTCTCACACACACACACACACAAACACATGCATACACAGCATGAAGGATCTTTAAGTTTTTAAACATTGAGAATAAAGTGTTCATTGTATTTCAGTTTATGGAGAGACAGCTGGTTGACTGTGAATGATCTTATTTTACAGACACACAAGGTATTAGTGACATACAATTTCATTGGTATTTCACTTTTTTTTTTAATTTAATTTAATTTAATTTAATTTAATTTAATTTTGTTCTCATTTTCTGTGCATACGTGCTTCATTTTGAGCAGTTTCTGTGTAGTTGAATGCTGGATTTTGATCTCTGGTTTCCCTAATAATGCTTTGGATTGAATGAAAGAAGTAGCAATGTATCATCACTGATCATGACACAACACCGAGAGGTCATCTTTAACAAAATTATCTTTATTATATGTGAATTACATGACAAAAATTTCAAATAACTTATAAAGATATCTTTTTTCAGAAAATCAGCTTATAAAGACTGATCAAGTGAACATACTGATTAGATCACTTCTCCTTAAGCAACAACAAAGTCTGGAACAACTTCAAAGAATGCAAAGGGTGCAGGCACAAATGAGGGTTCAAGAAAGAGGTATTTAACTTTTTATTGTTACACATACTTGTTTTTTATGCTCGCATTCATGGGATTAGTATTTATATATTTTTGGGAATGAAACATTACCATTTTCTCCCTAGGGACCCATAAAGAGCTACAAATGGTAGGGTTTCTGCTAAGAGGGATTCTAATGAGATCACTTCTTAATTTACTTGTTTATATTTGAAACTGAAATGAACCTGTTGATCATAAGAAGTTACTTGAAGATATGAAGTCAGAAGCAATGAAGAATTTTGTTGTAGAAGGTCAACAAGTGTTGTTGACCATGGAAGGTAAGGATTTGACTCTAGAACAACAGAAAGAGCTTAACGAAATCAGGAAAAAGAAAAGTATATTAATTCGTGAACATAGAATCAAGAAAAGCACAGCTGAAAGCAGACCAATTGTTCCAAGAAAATTTGATAAGACAAGAGATTTACATCTGAGAGAAATGGTCATCATTAGGGCTTGATCCATCAAAAGCAGTGTAAAGGGTGAGAAGTGAGTCAAGGGGTAGAAAGAGGGAGTGGTCATCTAATTTGTTTGTAAATTTTTGTTAAAACTTCTATTGATTTGTTTTATCTTTCCATGGAACGATTATTTGTATGACATTAAATTTATGCAATGGATTCTATTTTTTCTCTATGATATTTTATTTTCTATAATGAAACATTAAATACAAATTTAATTTGAAAATAAGTAAATCTATAAATAATATTTTTTCTAAACATTTAAAATTATGATACGCAAAAAATGTGTATCGTCTTCATTTATGACATGGCCTTTCTTGACGGGGGCTTTCTTGATACGCATTGCGTGTCATTAACACGCGCGTCGTAAGGTTATGACATGTGAATGCGTATCGTCTTCCTTTATGACAGGGCCTTCCTTGATACGCATTGCGTGTCGTAAATGCGTGTCGTAAATGCGTGTCGTAAATGCGCGTCGTAAATGAGCATCGTAAATGCGCGTCGTCTCTCTTTATGACAGGGCCTTCCTTGACACGCATTTGCGCGTCGTCTGTGCCTTTTACGACGCGCAATGAGCGTCGTAAAAGGCTGTTTTTCTAGTAGTGCCAGGAGTGTCGGGGCCACTATGGAAAGTGTGGAAAGATGCATAATTGAGCTTGCAGGGGAGGTTGTTTAGGCTGCTACAAGTGCGGCAAGGATAGGTACTTTAGTCGGCATTGCACAGCTACAACCCAAGGATCGATTCTGATATTCTTTCATTGTAATCAGAGGGGGTGAAAAGGAGATTTTTCGAGTTTAGCAACGGAAGAACCAGTTGCAGCACCCGCTCCAACGACCTTGAAGATCATGAATGGCCGCCAGGGAAAGGTGGTGGCGTTTGTTGTGAGGATCAAGGCATTTCGGCTATCAACCGAGGAGGCTCATGCAACACCATATGTGGTGATGAATATGTATCTTCTCATTCTCTTTATTTATTTTGATTTTCCTTCTTATATATGTGTTTTGATTTTAGGTTCGTTCCTTGTGAATGGTATCTCTACTTTGGTTTTGTTTGATTCGGGGGCTACCTGATCCTTTGTATCTCTCGCGTTTAACAAAAGGTTTTTCGATCCCGCAGGGGAGCTGGAGTATCCATTAGAGGTTGATATTGATGATGATCTTCCTGTGCGAGTATCGAGGGTTCATCAGGGATGTATATTGGAGTTTTTTAGTGATTGATATCCAATTGACTTAGTTCCCATTCCCCTGCGCGAGAGCAAGGTTATTATAGGGATGGATTGGTTGAGTCCCATTGGGGAGATGACTGATTGAGAGCATCTATTGATGTGTATTGAGACCCCAAGTGGGGGAGAGTTAGTGATTTAGGGAGAGGGTGTTTAGTGTGGGATAAGTCTTTTTTCAGTAGCCAGGGCTAGGTGTTATCTTCACCAGGGTTGTTATGGGTTTTTGGCTTATATAATGATTGTTCGGGAGAATAGTAAGATGACGGTGGGTGATGTACTCATTGTTCGAGAACACCTGGATGTGTTCCCAGAGGATTTTCCTAGAGTGCCACCGGAGAGGTAGGTGGAGTTTCAGATTGATTTGTTTCTAGGTGTGGCTCCAATATCCAAAGCAACTTATCGGTTAGCACCTTCGGGGATGTAGGAGTTGTCTACACAACTATAAGAGATGTTGGATAATGGATCTATATGGTCGAGTAGTTTAGTACGAGGAGCACCGATTTTGTTTGTGAAGAAGAACGATGGGTCACATCAGATGTGTATCGACTCCCTGAAGCTGTATAAGCTAACGGTGAAGAACCATTATCTGCTCCCAAGGATTGATGATTTATTTGACCAGCTTCAAGGTGCATCTTGGTTTTCCATGAATGATCTGTGTTCAGGTTATCATCTGATGAGGGTTGCAGGAGAGGTTGTACAGAAGAAGGCCTTCTAGACTTGCAATGGTAATTACAAGTTTGTGGTGA